GCCCAATTTGGTCTGGGCCCGAGGTGGGCTTAATAGCCGGCAACTACTGTATGTCCATTCAATTCGATGCGTTTTTCGATTTCTAGAATGCGTAATTTGGTCAGGCCTATTTTATCTCGCTGTCTTTCTAAGTCACTCCTTTCAGTAGCGATTAATGAAGCAGCTGATGAGTGCTCCGACAATTAGGGAGGACTGTCTTGTCCGCTTGGCTCGGTCATGCTAGAATAACTGTCCGAATAATTGTTAATACTGGTTGCCTTTTCGTACTGCAGTGTTTCCGAGGTCAGAGGTTATGTCGAGGAACAGTCAAATAAATAGAATAATTGTTTCAAGCGCTACTTGCTATTGTCCTCCTCTCCCTCTGGTTCGATTACAACGGTCACACCGCTGACCTCAAACGCTTGCAATTCACTCCCCCTTTCCGGCACTGAATTGCCTCTGTTCACGTCCGCCTCACGGTCTTTGTTTCCCGCACCGTGCCCTTATTCGCTCCCTCGCTCTTTCGGAGCGGTGTGCAGCAACGCGTCTGCGTCATTCAAACGACTGCTCATCTAAGCACCTCGAATAAGCACACCGAGTTATCCTGACTGTCCCTTGACATATCCGACTGACTGACTGTTTTTTGATATAACTCCAGGTGACGAAACGCAGCACTGCATTAAGAAACACTGCATTATTAACAGTTGCTCGAGTTATCGGACTGTCTTTCGACGTAACTTCTGACCTTGGAAACACTGCAGTACGAAAAGGCAACCAGTATTAACAATTATTCGAGAAGCTCTTCAGCCAGTATTAACACTAGCAAATAATTTAAGTCCAAGTCCCCGTTCCTACGCCAGACCCTGTGGTGGAGCATGCGGTAGACTTCGTCGGAACCGACGATGAAACAGTTGTTGAGGGGAAGGACCGAAATAAAGATGATGCCCAGGTTGAGAGTAAGAAGAGGACAAATACATCACGAGTGAAATATCCGTCCCTACCACCCGGGCGGCGTTCCACCAAGGGCGTGTGGGAAAGCCAACTTGTGGCTTACGATTAGTAGCGCTCCGGAAATATGGAGAACAAGGTTGCTGGGTAGAAGTGGTTAAAGAGCGCGCATGAGATGAACACGTCACGACAGTCAGTTTAACTGAAAGTCCAGCCGGCTCACATGCTAACAATCAAACCTCAGGTGGCGACGGACCTCAGTGAGACATCATCGGCCAAACATTCACCAATTATTATTGCCAACACATGAAAATGCCAGGACAAGGTAGAACTGCTGTTTTTGTCGACACCAAGCTATTTAGACTGGTAAACTCCCCGGGGTTGGAAACCTGTGGGCCGGGCAACAGTCCTTTGAAGACTGTTATTGTTTTCTTCGGTCATGACCCCAAAAAATCAGTAGGTAACCAGACAAAATCAAATATCATTTGGTATGTGAAAGCAAAACCCAGACCACACGAACAAAGTTCGCTCATGGCGACAGGTAAAAATCGCTTGACTGTTATCCTGATAGACAGCGCTACCATAAAAGAAACATATTTGGGTTCATACTATCATTTTAGTGACCAAACTGCGCTTTCAGAGCAAAGGCCCAGCCTTGGTGTCTTTATCAACCTTCAAGGGACGCTGTATGTAGTGGTCTTGGCCGCAAAGGCTTCTGACTGAAAATGGATCCTCCGGAGGTTTGCAGAAAAATTGCTTTCATGTTCTTATTTCGGCTGGTATCGCGGTGGATCTACCAAGCTTCAAGAATGCGAGCCATCTGACACAGCACCACAGGTCTTTTACCCGTTATGATGCATGGTAAATGAGATGGGAGGTTTGCTAACCATGCTTTGTCAAGCACTAATTATCTCACGGCAATGAACAGCAAATGAGTAGAAAAGTTAATGACTCAAAAAGAAAATTTAAACGGCAGCAGAATGACATACCTGGGTCGGTTTTGTTTTTGGTTCGCCTACAGACGTCAGATTGGGCACTAGGCTCACATGAACGCAGCAAAAATTCTTTGGTCCCACGCGATAATGAAGCTGTCGGAAGGCCTCCACAAACGGCATCGACTCAATGTCACCAATGGTACCACCCAACTCAATTATACATATTTCAGGGGTTTTGCCAGATGAATCAACCGGTCTTTGAGCTACACGGATCACCCAATCCTGAATAGCGTCAGTAATGTGCGGAACAACCTATGAAAAGTAACAAGGCCAAATTAACTAATGGTGGTTCAGCTTCAACAAGCTCAAATGTGTTAAAAAGTGACCATACGAATGCTTAATTCCAAACTGCACAGCTTAATAAGACTCGGTCTGCTATGAGGGACATGATTTAAGGTCAGTATAAAAGGCTTCTTGCTTGGTTACTACCCACGTCTAGCGTCGAGGCGCAGACAACAAAAACCAAGATCGCGAGTGCAGAATTACGAATACGCACTAGTTTGACCTATACGAATACCGGTTTTTAGATCAAAAGTGAAGTCTGAGCCTGATCATTCAAGGGAATGCCAAAACTACGCCAGCCAGTTTTCAGGGACACTACTGTGGCAGAGGCGGCAGCATTTCGCACTAACTGGTACCTCGATTACATGCAAGTTATGACCTGACAAGCGCGTTTTTCGGTAGGCGAGGCCCATGCTACACTGCAGTAACTATGGTGCTATGTAGCTCTCAATTTACGGTGCGGTACTTTTTACCCACCGAATAGACCAAAATGTATCACAAATATCCGGCTCATCAGTAGGTGTCTGATTAAGTTTATCTCCGTGGACATCTTGGCTCAAGTCGCCATTCATTGTGAAGTAACTTAAGTTTGGTGGAATTTGATGGGGCTCGGTATTTGTTGATGTACTCACTGTATACTGGTCTAGCGCACACAGCAACAATCACTTAACTGACGATTTGTGATAGTCATATTGCAGTGCCCATACGATGACAGTTAGTTGGACAGTAGGTTCGTCATATGGCCGCATTTTACCAAAATTGTTGCCGACGGTCCTTGACATTTTTTGCCTGACGAACTTCTATTTGACAAGCGGCTAAGATCCCTTAGGACCATTACATATGAACTATCAGTGAAAGTGTTAAACAACAGTAACGGAGACGTAAGTTTCCAAACGTCTGAAGCATGAGGTGTAAACAAAAAGTCCTCGACGCGCTGCCTGCGGTAGTCCCACAATTACACGTTACATGTAGGGTACCAACATATACTAGTCTTAATCTTCCGTACACTATACAATATTCCACTCGTCACAAAAGGAATCGTCAGCCGTCTAAACCTTTTACTATTTATTTTATTTCCCAACTGCAGTGAGCGCCCTTATAATTAGCTATTATGTGCCCAACAGCGATTAATGTGTGGTAACTGGAGGTAGAGCAACAAGTCACGTTTCCCGGGGTTCAGGTTCCCACTTCTTCAATCATATGCTGGTTCTCTTTGTATGACGAAAAAGGAGAATTTTAAAATAGACCCAAGACTAAAACGAGGTAACTAGACTATGTCTAGTACTCAGAACA